CAAGTCTTCATACCACTGTTAATAGTAAATACGCCTCTTTCATAATTGATCATACTTAATTCCTTCTACATATAAACCCTTGTATTGTGATAATTTATCTTGAGATTAGTAATTCTTATAGTTATATTTAGTTTTGTTTATTAGTTTAGTATTATTTTACCCTGTTGTCTTTATAAATTGTAGAAGTTTTACACGGATAACATTACTTGCAATGCAATAGGAACTGAAAAACTCAAACCATTATTCATTCATAAATATGAAAATCCATGGGCATTTAAACATATAAACAAAAAAACTCCTCCAGTTGATTATTACTGGAATTTAAAAAGTTAGATGCAAGTTTCAATCTGTAATAATTACATTAAAAAACTTGATACTAGAATGTGAATGCAAAATAGAAAAATTATTCTTCTTGTTGACAATGCACCTACACATATTCTTTATGAAGCTACACAAGTTACAAATATTACTATTGAATTTTTGTCTCCAAATATTACTGCACATCTACAACCTTGTAATCAAGGAATTATTAATAATTTTAAGGTAAATAAATTTATCTTTTATGCATTAGGAAAATTTTCAAGGTTGAAATTATGTAAATTTATGTGAAAAAAATTTGTTTTTGACTTCGCTCGTGATTTAAGTGACAGTGAGTGATTTTCTACTAAGATGTTCCTAAGATAGATCGAAAGCCATGATTCTGGGTTACATTTTGATATGTATTACTTTTTATATCATCAATATTCATCAAGGTCATGATGAAAAGTTTTTATCAAGGCTTTTTACAGATATCTGAATTTAAATGTCACGATCTTGATGAATATTGATACTACAGAAACTAAAAATATTTAAAAATGTAATCTAGAATAAGGGCTTTCAATTTATCTTAAGAATATCTTAGTAGAAAATTACTTCCTGCCACTTAAATCATGAGCGAAGTCAAAAACAGATTTTTTCCATGTAAATTTTTGAAATATTATGACACTTACATAAATTAATGTTGAAAATTTTCCTGATGTAATTATTTAATTAAAATTTTAAAATTTTAAAATTTATAATAATTCTAATAATTCTAATTTAATAATTTTAGGCACAGTATCGAAAATTGTTTTTAAATAATCGTGTTAAAGCTTTTGATAAATATAATGAATATGGTATTAAACCAGTTGAAATTAATATCAAAAAATGTATTAAATATGTTGCTTGTGCATGGAATAATGTTACTGAATCTACAATTAAAAATTGTTGACAAAAGATAGGTATTTTGCCTAAAACCAATGAAATTAATTTAAATGACATGACAGATGAAATTAATTTAGATAATATGACAAATGAGATTGTAGTAGATAATACAAACGAATTAAATGAGGTTCAAGCATTAATTGATAAATTAAATCTTGAAAATTCTCTTAGTACTAATGAATTTATTCATTATGATAGCACAGTAATTATAATAGAAATAAGAACTAATGATGAAATTTTAGCAGCAATTATTTCTAATAAAAAGGATGAAATAGAAGAAGATTCAGATCCTTCACCAATTATTACTCACAATGAAGCTATTGAATCATATGATAAAATAATTTGGTATTTAGAGTAACAGGGGAAAAACTTTAATACAAAAAAAGATGGAATCAAATATGTGAAAAAATTATAAAAAGAAATTGTGAGATATCACTTTTTTTTAATGAAGCAAAGTAATCTTGATAGTTTTATTGATAATTTTAATAATGATTATTAAATATATTGTATTTAGTACAGTGATAAACAAATAAATTAATAAAATTATAATTTTGATTTTATTAATAAAATAAATAATGAATTTATATCAGATTTTTTTTTGAATTTCGTTATAAGATTAATGATCTTTTTTATAACGAAGGCCTGATTGGCCTAGTTACTAAATTCGTTGTAGAGTGAGTTGACTGTAATAACAAAAGAAAATGTGACAAAAATATTATATAATATACACAATGTATCAAATACTGACATTTTGGAATAAAAGCTACTATAGATAAAATGAGACAATGATATTTTTGGCTGACAATGGGTGATGACATATAAAATTATATAGAGACATGTGATATTTGTCAAAGATAGGGTAAACCTAAACAGATTGAAGTATTACGACCTATTGGAATAGAACAAGTTTTTGATTAATTAGAGATAGATATCATAGGTCTGTTGAAGCCAACAACAATAGGTAAGAGATATATAGTAGTAGCTACAGATTATTTTACCAAATGGCCAGAAGCCAGAGCTATTGAAAAAGTAGATGCGAAAACTATCGCTTGGTTTCTGTATGATGAAATTATATATAGGCATAGTTGTCCAAGAGAAATACTATCTGATAGAGAAGCAGTATTTGTTAGTCAAGCAGTGACTAATATAATAAAAATAATGGGAACTCATTGTAGACTTACGTCTGCTTACCATCCTCAAAGTAATGAGCTAACAGAAAGTTTAATCAAACATTTTGTAAAACTTTGAAGAAATGTGTAAAAGAAATAATACAAGAATGAGATGCATTGATAGTTTCGGCACTTTTCACATATCAGATAACCAAGAATAGAATAACAAAATATGAATCATTTTATTTACTATATGAACGAGCTCCCACATTGCCTATAGAACTTGATATTATTATTTGGCCAGTTGAAAAAATTAGTAAAAGACAATTTAAAAAAATGATTTGTAAGAAGACAAGCAAAGTTGTGGAAATATTCAAAGATAATCAAATTAATACATCTAAGAATATCAAAGATGCACAGAAATGGCAAAAGATAACTCATGATAGAAAAATTCGAACAATAATATACAAAATTGGTGATATGGTATTAGAGTACAGATCTGATTTACAGAATGTTCATAGTGATAAGTTTCGAGACAGATGGTCTGGTCCTTACTTTATTTATAAAATTCTTGGTAATGGCTCCTATATATTAAGAACCAATAGTGGAGAAGTTCTCAATAGTTGACCTGTACATGGCAATCAATTGAAATTGTATAAACAAAGGGGTTATTATCTTACGCGAGATAACAGGTATACAATAGACTTGTTTAAAAGAATTCATAAGATTGCAAAAATTCCTAAAAATTTCTATCAAAATTTTTCTTTTTAAGATGAATAATATTTTAATTTCAAATGGTTTACAGAAGAGAGCTCATGAATTACGTAAAGAATTTTTGTAAGCTTTAGGTAAAACGCAAATATTATAGACAATAATGATGTATATTTGGTAACAGAAAATGTCGTAACAGAAATTGATCAACTTACTAATAATGAAATTATAACGCAATATAATGATACATTAATGATTTTTGTAACAGATATTTTTATGGCCCTAGAAGAACTAGATCAAGCTACTGATCATGATCTGAATGGCCTTTTGCAAATAGTTACGGACATACATAATACAAATAATCAAAAAATGAATGTGTTATTACCCCTGCTTTTATTTTCATATTTATTAATTATTTATTTATATATTTTATTATCATATTTATTTATATCTGTATTATTTTA